TGCACCACAAGGCACGCGGAGGCGTCACCAAGGCCGTAGCGCCCGCGGTACGCAATGCGCTTCTCTGCGACCAGCACCGAGTCCACCACAGTGACGCGCGAGCCCGGCGGAAATAGGTTCGCCACCACCACGCCGCCGCCGGAGCGCGACTCGAGCCCGCCGATCAACACATCGGCGCGCTGGCCAGCAGGCGGGTCGGAACGCCACCCAACAACGTACAGGCTCGCTCTGCCCACAAAAGTGCAGTTCACCAGCGTCACGTTGCGCACGCTCCCCGACATCGACTCCACGTCCACCACGACGTCCGCCGCAAAGGTCACACCAACGTAACACACCACCGACGTCCCGAAACCGGCGTTCACCTCCTCATCCACACGCACGTCCTGTACGCACGAGTCGGCGCCGTCAGTGCTCGGTGGCTCGGGAACAGCGACGGGCAAACACGCATTGCCGTGGCCGCCCTCAGCGCACGTGCAAGCGCAGCCATCACTCGACACCGTCGCCGTGTACGCGGGGAAGCACGACGCCGCGAGGGTGCATGGGTCGCTGCAGCTCAGAATGGTCGCATTGTACGCAGACGGAATACTGTATCTCGCCCCCTCCTTGTCATTCACTGTGTTGCACGCGGCCACAACCGTTCCGTTTGTGAGATCGCTGGACCCTAATAATATCCAAAGCACCTTCGGCGTGCCCGTGCTGGAAATGAATTTGTTGCCGGACACAGACACCGTGGAGTTCCGTAGATTTACCCTGGGGTATGCATAGGCAAAGGCATCCGATGGGGATTCACGGCAGAGGTTGCCGCTCAACTGCAGCCAGGAGTTGTAGTAGACATAGGTGTAGTAGTTCAAAAAGAGCACAACCGAGCTTCCCTGCATGTCATTGCCCTGAAACACAGCCGCTGACCAGGACTCCACACGTAATGTCGAAGGAAATAACATGAAGTAACTTACCGGCCTCGACGCAACGTTGTCTCGGATCACCACGGCGGAGTTGTTCAGTACATCCAGCGACGAGGATTGGAAAGACCCTCCAAGATATATCACCGTAGCGCCACCGTCGTCCATATGAAACGTGTTGCCCACCACCGCAAACAGGGAGTGCCACGACACCCTCAGCACAGATCCAACAACGTAAATGGCACTTGACGATGCCGTCACGCTCTGAAACACATTGCCACTGAGCACCACCGCGGAGTCATTGCTGACCACCAGCTCATTCATCGCTACACACGACGGCCTTCTAATGTCCAAGCCCGACCGAGAGATCAGCCTCGTGACCTTGAAGCGGTTCCCGCTGATGGTGATGTTCGTGTGCGGCGGAAAATCACCCTCCGGGCTAAGAAGCGCGTCATCGAACGTGTTGCCGGTGACAAAAACGTTCAGCGACTCCACAGCGGCGTGCGCGTCGCCCGCCAGCAACAGTACAGCGCCGTCCCTCCACGTGCATCCATCAAACGTGATGTTCGCCACGTCGCCCGTCATCCCCCCAATCAGCACCGTCAGGATCATGCCACCCCCGCTGAACGTCACGTTGCGGTAGCACAGCCACGACAGCCCGCTGCCCACTGCCTGCGCAACCTCGGGGTACACCATGTCGCTGATGCACTCACCAATCGGCGGCGGTGACGGTGGTGCGGGCGGCGGTGGCGGTGGTGGCGGACCAGCAGGCACAGGCGCCGGGACGCACACATCGCCGTGCCCTCCAGCAGCGCACTGGCACTTGCAGTCGCTGACCGCCGTCGTCAGCGGAGCAAAGCAGTC